TTTGAAAATTACCCATCATTCGCCCCAGGGTACAGGCTCTTGTCACACAATAAATTGCTCACTAGAGACAATTTGTGTGAGAGACAAGACATCCCTGATAAAAGATACTCATTGTGCTGTAGATTAGAAACTTGCCACCGTCTCTTTGAATGTGATGTTATTGACACTACCCTGGAAAGAAGTGGGAGTCACAGTTGATGTTCCTCTTGTGCTTGACAGCTATGTTAATGTTGCAAGTCCTTGGTTGTGTAATAAGAAAAGAGGCTTTAGCTTACATGATTTCTTGTGGATTGAGTTGTGGACCACTTGGAAACTGAGAAATGACATATTCTTTGGCCGTGCAGTTTGGTCTGGTTTGCAGATGATGCGGCAACGCCTGTTGCGCTTGCTCAAAAGATGGCTGTCACTCCGGCGGAAGAAAGATATGAGATATCCTGGTGCTGGACAAATGCCTCAGGATCATGGAGACCAAGGCGAGGGAATGTCCCCGGCTCGGCTCGGCTCAGCTTGAAGAAGAGAACAACTGTGCTGGTGCTGGGATTTGGAAGATGGCGCTCTATCGATCTGATCAGGAGTATGGTCCTGATAGCTAAAAATCAGTAGTGGAGATTGGCGCAGGGTACAAAGCTGTACTCCCTCTGATCCATATTACCTGTCACTCAAACGGATGTTTACACGCGTACAAAGTTGTAATGATTATTAATATGTACTGAATAAATAAGTGGCCAATGTGAAATATTTTATCCTTTATCAATCCCACAAGTGTTCAAGCCTTTTCATCATTATAGTAATCAAGAAAAAGTCTTACTTGTACTAGATGCCGGAAGGAAGGCCACAACAAAAAAACATAAACAACGGTTCTACTTTCCCGGCATCAAGTTGTTTATTAGTATGTGAATATCCACGTGTATTTCATACTGCCTCTGTTTGTCCGTGCGTGATAATATCTTTCAATTAGCTCTCTGCCTCTCTTTCAGAGTTTCAAGTATGATATCACTTTCACACAAACGTTTGGCTGGCTCCCGTTGCAGCCTGCCAATCAAGCATGTCATGTCTCCTTCTGTTCCTGTCCAGGTCGGCATGCAACGACACTAACTGAGCGATGCCTTCTGCGCCACTTAAACTGAATCCAGCAACCAATCCACTCAGTCGAATCAATTCTTTGAATAAATCTATTACTAGGCGAAGACATTATTGTCAAATCCAACTACTACTCCAATGCCAGATCGCATCAACGATACCAGTAGTGCTTTAAGTAAATCTATCAGTGAAGTCATTATTGCCGGTTTGAATCTGGTGGATCGGGATTTCATTGGCAAACTACGGACGGAAAGAAACTGCTCCAAGGGGGATGGATGAAGGAAGGAGGGAAAACTAGTACCTGATATTTGTGATGATCGAGGACAATGAGAAGCCTCTGGAGGAGGAGCAGCGGCAGCTGGTTCTCGACGACGACCATGTCGGACTGGATGTAGTTCCACAGGTAGAGGTAGCCGTACTTGCTGAAGACGGGGTCGTTGGGCGCGTACTCCTCGTGCACCTTGCCCCGCAGCGCGTCCATCCGCATCGCCTCCACCAGGAAGCAGCCGTCGGTGACCATCAGCTGCACGAAGCGCTCCGTGCCGCCGCCCTCGGCGCCGCGCCACTCGTCGCCGAGGTCCTTGTAGGCGTCCTGCAGCTGCTGCGCCACCTCGGCCACGGCGGCCACGAACTCCCGCAGCGGCCGCCCCGAGCGCTTCACCAGGTGCACCACGGCGCGGCGCTTGTGCTCCTCCATGGGGAGCAGCTCCGGGTCGCCGTGGTGGAAGGGCCCCAGCGAGACCAGCTCCGGCTGGTACGCCTTGCTGTTGTGCAGGTTCTTGATCCGCTCCGGCACGCGGTAGATGGAGTGGCGCTTCCACCGCGCCATCTCCGCCGCCGGGTCGATGTTCATCTCGCCGATCGTCTTCTCCATCTCCACCACCCAGCTGCTCACAGGCGCCTCTGCCTCCACCGTCGCCGTCGCCTCCCCCATTAATGAATGGATTACTCTGGAGACTGGACTCGGTTCAGCTCACTGGGGCACTGAGCTGAGCTCTGTCTGAAAGGTCGCTGCACTGTCGCTATAGAGAAGGGGCCGGCAGGCAAGTTGCAATTGGTCGGGTGGCGCCCACACCGATGGACTGGAAGGGCACGCTACCGATGCCGATGATCGTCTTCGCTGAGGACAAGGAATTTCTTGCGTGGGCTCCCTCCACCATAGGCGCTCCTTTCGGCAGTAACCTAACCTTGTCTGTGGATTATTTATGGTATATCGGCGGAAAAGCAAATCTGGCCGGCCCCAATAATGCAGTGACACGACCACCATTTTTTCTTACTGATACTGACTTTATGCCCGGTTCCACTGTCAAGAGAAGAGATAACCAAGTAAACAACGAGTAACCGGCATCCAGTGCAAAAGTTTCAATAGGTGTACAAATCTGATTACGCGTTCCTGCTGTAAAGGGAGTTTCCAGTTTGACTCTTTGAGAGGATGAGAGTCACTCAAGTACTAAAGCAAACCCTACATAGCAATATGAATGTGCTCACTGGTATGTGGTATGCCCGTGTTCTAAAATGACTTTTTTGTACTGTACACCCCACGCAAAAGCAAGATAAAAATAGAGAAAGTTCTGACTGTAAACAAGCAGCAAAAAGCTAGTTACATACATCACAAGGGGTCTGGCGGACTCTATATAAGCCACCCCCTCCTCAGTGTAAAGGGTTCACACCCCTGTAACTCATACACACATAATACCAGTCGACCGCCTCCGGGCTCCGAGACGTAGGGCTGTTACTTCCTCCGAGAAGGGCTTGAAATCGTAAACCCTTTGTGTATACAACTACTCTTAGCTAGGATCTTGCCTCTCCATACCTACCCCCCTACACTACTGTCAGACTTAGAACCACGACAGTTGGCGCCCATCGTGGGGCAGGTGTCTTAACGACTTATTGGAGAAGTTGCGATTTTTCCGATCACCTTCATCATGGTTTCAGGCGGAGTTCTGGTTGAGGGCCGCGAGATCCGTCTCGGCGCGCTCACGTTCATCGCCGACGACTCCGCTTGGCTTCAGGAGGCTCCGCTCGACATCGACGTGCTCCCAGTCCGCGGAGCGACGCACTTTCGCGTGTGCGTCCTGTTGGAAATATTGCCCTAGAGGCAATAATAAATTAGTTATTATTATTATATTTCCTTGTTCATGATAATCGTTTGTTATCCGTGCTATAATTGTATTGATAGGAAACTCAGATACATGTGTGGGTACATAGACAACACCATGTCCCTAGTAAGCCTCTAGTTGACTAGCTCGTTGATCAATAGATGGTTACGGTTTCCTGACCATGGACATTGGATGTCGTTGATAACGGGATCACATCATTAGGAGAATGATGTGATGGACAAGACCCAATCCTAAGCCTAGCACAAAGATCGTGTAGTTCGTATGCTATAGCTTTTCTAATGTCAAGTATCATTTCCTTAGACCATGAGATTGTGCAACTCCCGGATACCGTAGGAATGCTTTGGGTGTACCAAACGTCACAACGTAACTGGGTGGCTATAAAGGTGCACTACGGGTATCTTCGAAAGTGTCTGTTGGGTTGGCACGAATCGAGACTGGGATTTGTCACTCCGTGTGACGGAGAGGTACCTCTGGGCCCACTCGGTAGGACATTATCATAATGTGCACAATGTGACCAAGGGGTTGATCACGGGATGATGTGTTACGGAACGAGTAAAGAGACTTGCCGGTAACGAGATTGAAGAAGGTATCGGGATACCGACGATCGAATCTCGGGCAAGTACTATACCGCTAGACAAAGGGAATTGAATACGGGATTGATTGAATCCTCGACATCGTGGTTCATCCGATGAGATCATCGTGGAACATGTGGGAGCCAACATGGGTATCTATACCCCGCTGTTGGTTGTTGGCCGGAGAATTGTCTCGGTCATGTCTGCATGGTTCCCGAACCCGTAGGGTCTACACACTTAAGGTTCGATGATGCTAGGGTTGTAGAGATAATAGTATGCGGTAACCCAAACATTATTCGGAGTCCCGGATGAGATCCCGGACGTCACGAGGAGTTCTGGAGTGGTCTGGAGGTAAAGATTTATATATAGGAAGTCCAGTTTCGGCCACCGGGAAAGTTTCAGGGGTCATCGGTATTGTACCGGGACCACCGGAAGGGTCCCGGGGGTCCATCGGGTTGGTTCGCCTATCCCGGAGGTCCCCATAGTCTGAGGAGGCGTGGGAACCAGCCCCTGGTGGGCTGGTGTGCCCCCCTTGGGCCTCCCATGTGCCTAGGGTTAGAAACCCTAAGGGGCGGGGGCGCCTCCACTTGGCTTGGAGGCCAAGCCTCCCCTAGGGCAGCCGCCCCCTCCCTAGATGGGATCTACAAGGGGCCGGCGCCCCCCTAGGCCCCTATATATAGTGGAGGGGAGGGAGGGCAGCTGCACCTGAGTCCCTGGTGCCTCCCTCCCTCCCGTGACACCTCTTCCTCCCCGCTTGCGCTTGGCAAAGCCCTGTCGGGATCCCGCTACTTCCACCACCATGCCGTCGTGCTGCTGGATCTTCATCAACCTCTCCTCCCCTTGCTGGATCAAGAAGGAGGAGATGTCTCTCCCAACCATATGTGTGTTGAACGCGGAGGTGCCGTCCGTTTGGCGCTAGGATCATCGGTGATTTGGATCACGACGAGTACGACTCCATCAACCCCGTTCACTTGAACGCTTCCACTTAGCGATCTACAAGGGTATGTAGATGCACTCTCCTTACCCTCGTTGCTAGATTACTCCATAGATTGATCTTGGTGACGCGTAGAATTTTTTTGAATTTCTGCTACGTTCCTCTACACGTCTGCGGCGTCCTCCTGCGGCAACCGTCGACCCAGTATCGGTCGGCCCCTGTGTCGTCCTCCCTCCCTGTTTCCCGCCGGCGAAGTGCTCCGGTCGGTCGAGGCTTCAGCGGTGGGTGAGGCACACGGTGGCTCACTAGTCGGTCACCCCCCAAGTCACGGCAATCGAGCCCGACGAATCTCTCTACTGCTTGTTCGACTGGCTCCGCAGAGACTGCATCCGAGTGCGACAACAGTGATCCAATGGCGGAGGTTCTTATGGTCGATGGACCACACAGTCCTCCCGGTTTTCCCCGCACTGACGGAGGCGACGACGGAGGCGATCCGTCGCATGCCCATGAAGAATATCTCCCTGAGCCCCTCACTTCGCTGCAGAGGGAAGATCTTCGCCGCCGGAACATGGATGCGCTGCACACTCCTATTCTTGGAGAGACCCCCGAGGCTCGTGCCTTAGAGGACGCGCGCTTGGCTAACTTGGCTGAGCGCACTCGACTGGAGAACCTTCAGCGAGCACTCGACGAGCGTGCGCGGCAACGGGTTCCAGAATCCAGTCGACGTCAACTCTTTCCACAGCCGACTCAGGTATATCAAACTTCGATCCAGAATTTAGCGGCTGCAGCCCGTATAGCAGAGTCGATTCAGCCTTCCCAGTCAGAGGCTGGCAGAGGCTTGTTACAAATCAGAGATTTACTCCGGGCAGCAGGAGATCAAAATTCAGCTGTATCACAGTCGCGGAATAGGATTCACAGCAGATCCGTCGCTGCAAATACCGTCCAGTCGGCCCATAGCCCAAGATCGCCCCCGAGGCGTGAGGAACATGGAGACCGGCGTGATCAGTACAAGAACCATGAGCGGTATGATCACCGAATCGATCGCGATGATCAACGTCGAGTGCCCACCCCTCCCCCAAGGGGTGGATCATACGCGCCTCGACAACAGGATGATAGACGCCATCACAGTGTTGGGCGAAGGATTCCAGTCGACCCAAGGGAACCAGGCTTTGATGCGAGTTCCATTATCGTTCAAGGTTTGGTCGACTGGAACAGAGCTCACCGAGAAGGTCATGACAAAGATATACCCACCAGCAACAGAGTACACGTCTCAGGACCAGAGTGTTTCAGCAGAGCCATCAGGGCCGCGGTGATCCCTCCCAACTTCAGATTGGCGACTGGAGTCAGTAAGTTCATTGGTGAGTCCAAGCCTGATACTTGGCTTGAAGACTACCGAGTGGCTGTTCAGATTGGCGGCGGCAATGATGAGGTGGCCATGAAACACCTGCCTCTTATGTTGGAGGGATCGGCCAAAGCATGGTTGAATCAGTTAGCACCCAGCAGCATTTACACTTGGGAAGATCTTGCCCGAGTGTTTGTCAGAACATTTGAAGGAACCTGCAAGTGACCAGCAGGGTTGACAGAGCTGCAATCTTGTGTGCAGAAGTCGAATGAAACTTTGAGAGATTACATCAAGAGATGGATCACATTGCATCACACGTTAGAGAATGTATCTGATCACCAGGCAGTCTGTGCCTTCAAGGAAGGCATTAAGTACAGAGAGCTAAACCTGAAATTCAGTCGAACCGAAGACATGTCTCTGAGTCAAATGATGGAGATTGCCACCAAGTATGCCAATGGTGAGGAAGAGGATCAGCTCCGGAGTGGCAAGCACAAGTCAGTCGCCCACGAGACCGAAGGAGGGAACTCTAGTCGGAAGCAGAAGCGGAAAGCCGAGCCGGCTGCTCCTGGAGAAGCCTTAGCCGTGACTCAACGAAAGTTTAAAGGAAGGAAATGACATGATGGATTTGCCGTGCCACATCCACACGAAGAAAGATGAGGAGGGTAAATTCATTTACCCTGAACATACCACTCGACAGTGTCGGCTCTTGATCCAGCAATTCCAGGGGAAATAGCCCAAAGATAAGGAAAAGGAGTCGGACAAAGTTGAGGACAAAGAGGATAGTGATGATGGATACCCCCATGTCAATTCCACCCCGATGATTTTTGCTGATGTTGAAAGCAAAAGTCGACTGAAAGTTATCAACCGAGAAGTGAATATGGTTGCTCCGGTGACACCCAGTTATCTAAAATGGTCTCAGACTGCCATCACATTCGGCCAGTCCGATCATCCGACACACATAGCCAC